TTATCTTCATTTATATATGTAATTTATGTATCTTGTTGACTTCTCCTGTTCCTCTGCACCATAAATGTAATAAGTTCCATGCCCCAGAACACAAGAGATGCTCAAAACATATTGTTAGTTTAATGAAACAATTAAACCCTTTTTCCTCTGACAATCCTAATCAAAGCCTCCACACGAAGAAAAAGGGATTAGTCTGGTCTCCTGCTACAAGAAGCCTAACTTTCAGCTACTAAAAACCCTGTTCACCTCTGCTTGTTGTGTTCAAGAACAGCAAAGAGATCAATATGCCTGGGATGTAATGAACTAGGGGGAGGGAAGTAAGAGATACATTTGGAAGACGATGAAGGTGGATGTTTGTCAAGCTTCTGGACTCACAATTTTACTGTGATTTTCTGGGGGCTTGTTACTCCAGGGATCCTGATTCCTAGTTCAGAATCTAAACGGTATCTATGACTGGACAGGGCGTATCTATGGCTAGACAGGGCACAACCTGGAAATGCTTACAGGAATCCTGCATGAGGAAGGCTTTTGTCGATTTAATACACGTTGTGTTCAGGGACCTGGGCTAGATAATCTTACATTCACTGTTTTATTTAACACTGTAAAATTATACATTCATCGCTCATGAAAATGTCCAGTTCATCTGTCCCCTTCACTCCCATACTTCTCTAGCCTGCAACCATGCCTCTAATCATCAGCCCCTGTTACGCTTTCAACAAATTAGGTCACTTCTGGTTTTACTTGTTTCCCTTTCAACTTGAAATATTGAAGCTCTGTTAGCCAGTTTAGATTGGGTTATTCTGTGGTTACAAATGACTCCCAAGTCTCAGACACTTACGACCAGAAAAGTTTGTTTGCTCACTCCAGCTACATATTGATCATGGGTAGGCTGTGACCCTTCTCTATAGAATTCTCATTCTGGGCCCTTGGTTGGTGGAGTTGCTCCTACCTGGAAGACTGGCAGAGGAAAAAGAGCTAGTATTGAGTTACATCATGGTTCTTAAAATTTCTGCTCACAAGTGACACCTGTCCCTTCTGCTCACGTTTCATTGGCAATAGCAAGTCACCTGGCTACATAGATATCAATGGGCTATAGTATAATCCTCCCCCAGGGAGGGGCGCTGCATATTTTTGAGCAATAACAGAACATGCCAAAAGCGTGTCCCTGCGGAGGCACACTCACTGCACCTGTGCTCCCTGAGCCCTCTTATCCTTCTTATACACACACTGTGCCAAACGCAGAGCCTGGATCTATCCTCTCCACGTCTTGACTCCGCCTCTCGGACTGCCCCATGTTGTTGGAGGCTCTGCCCTTCCTGACAGCACCAGTCCACATTCATAGTTGGGTTTTCCTCCTTTGCTGGACCACCATGATGCTCACTCATCTTTTCTTTTTTCCATTATTAGCTCTGACATAAGTCTGTTATTTTCAAGCTCACCCTCAGAACATCCCAAACCCTTCAGTACCTGCAGAAGATGAGCCTCCTGTTTTTGTAATGGAAAATAAGTATGAATTCTTCTAAACCTTGTAAACCCTCCTCTGCATTCCTTTTCTCCTCTCTGCTGTTTTTTATTCCACAACACTTATTTAGCATCATTGACATACTTAGCTTATAAATCTTGAATGATGGTTAACATTAGGTGTCAACTTGATTGGATTGAGAACTGCCTAGAGTATTGTTCCTGAGTATGTTTGTAAGGGTGTTGCTAGAGGAGAGTGACCTGTGAGTTGGTGGACTGGGAAGAAAGACCCACCGTCAAGGTGGGTGGGCACCAGCCAATCAGCTGCCAGATCAGCTAGAACAAAGCAGGCAGAGGAAGATATGATAACCTTGCTAGCCGAGGCTTCTGGCTCTCTCTATTTCTTCTTCCTGTGTAGGACACTTGCTTCCATTCCTCCTGCCCTTGGACATCAGACTCCAGGTTCTTCCGCCTTTGGACTCTGACACTTTTACCAGTGGCTTCCCTGGGGCTCTCAGGCCCTCTGGCTCAGACTGAAGGCTGCGCTGCGGGCTTCCCTGGTTTTGAGGCTTTTGGACTTGGTCTAAACCAGCTTCTCTCTTTCCCTAGCTTGCAGAAAGCCTACTGTGGGCCTTTGCCTTGCAATCGTGTGAGCCAATTCTCTAATAAACTTACTTTTACATATACGTGTATCCTATTGGTTCTGTCCCTCTGGAGAACCCTGACTAATACATCCTGTTTTTTCCTCCGCTTCCCTTTCATCTACTTCTACATTTACCCAGACCACCAGCATTCCTTCTCTCTTTCCTGTTCTAAGCATGGTATTCTGCCCATTTCCCATGGCTTCCCACAGTCCTGCTCTGTTTATGCTTCTTGTTCTCTTAAGAGGAAATCCTTGCCTTTTCCTTGGCTTTTTCTACTTGGTCTACATACTGGTTTCTGCTTTTCTCAGAGACACACCGTGACCTTTCATGTCTCACTGTCACTTCTTGGAAGGGTACTCTCTACTGGGTCTGCCTGCTGAGCAGACAGACCTCTCTTGGGGAAACATGGGCACTCCTGAGTCACTGAATGTGAGCTGTTTGGTGTTGGTCTGTTAATTTATCTTCTTACACCACTTCCTTAACTCCAAAAGGAATAATAATTATTATTTTCCATGATTGATGTGAAAAGTATAAATAACTTATACGAAATGCATTGCAGTTAGGAGATAATAATCAGCAGTGAATGCCCTTATTAATGTTACTCTATCAGTCTTGGCTCAGATACCATCTGCTCTGTTAGCTCCACTCTGAATTGTATCTAGTTCTTCTCTGGGTTCGTTGTGCTCTATTCTTAACTGCTTTAAAGCAGTAATTATTCTGATTCTAATTAGTGGTCCTTCTCAGTAAATTTTTAATTTTTTAGATTTCTTCCCCCCACCCTGCCCCCAGCCTTACCAGTGTTTTCTTGTTTCGCGTGTCTGTGTGTGTGTGTGTAGGCTGAATCACTGGTCTTCTATTTGTGGCTAAATAAATATTTTGTTGGAAGAGTAAAGAGTTCCCAGTTCCATGGGATCTACAGTTCTATAAAATGAATATATACATATTCCATGTAAATATTTCACAACAATAATTTCACTACTAAAATTGTGAAATAGTAGTGAAACAATATTTCATTACAATAATTTTACTACTAAAATTGTGAAATTTAATAGTGAAACAATATTTCACTACTAAAATTGTTTTAAAATTAAAACACTTTTAAAATTTAATTTGTGTGTGTGTGTATGTGTGTTAGACCAGAGATTGGGGGGTGGGTCTCACTATGTTTCCCAGGCTGGTCTTGAACTGCTAGCCTCAAGCCACCCTCTTGCCTTAGCCTCCCAAAGTGCTGGATTTATAGGCATGAACCACTGCACCCAGCCTCACTTTTTGTTTTAGCAGATCCTACAGTGAGAAAGGAAGTAGCATTGTGATAGCGTAGCTAGATAGGGAGCAGTTCCGGAATGTGAAGAAAGGAGGTGTGGGAAGGGTCAGTCCACAGAAGCTGTGGCCTTCAGGAGAAAAGCTTTGAGGTCAGGGAGCCAGGTGGGTAAATGAGACTACTCCATCCCTTTTGTATCTCCTTGAAATGTCTTTTTTTGGCCACTCTCCCTGAAAGAGGAGGGCAAGGGAGCGAGGACAGAAAGTGAGGTAGAGAAGAGTGGTGCTCTGGAGGGACAAGCAGGAGATACGCAGCACAACGAACCACACTAGATAACACATCAAGTAGGGGAACCTGTCTTCCACTACACAGGCTACGTGCTATGGGACATGGGCTCTGGGTTTACACAGATTATGGCTCAGTTCTTTGCTGTTGTGAAGCTGTGTTTGGATAAATCCCTCAGCTTCTCTGAGTCTTATTTTTTCATTTGTAAAATGTAGACAGAAGACCTACTTTCCCTCATTGCTTTCAGGTTAAAAATGCATCAATTAGGATACAGCAAAGTCTGTTTGATGCTGAAAACTTTCCAGCAAGAATGAACCTGAGAACAAGTCATCGCTCATCTTTGCTCTTGCCTGTAACTGCTAAGCATCTACTCCATCTTCAGTGCTTAGGGATTTTATATTGTTGGCATTTTTGATTTAGTCAGGAATGCATTGTATGGGAATATCAAACCTGCATGCTTTCCACACATTGACTGTAGTCTGATCTTAGTAGGTGGTGCACATATAATTTTACTATTTCTCAATTTATTTTGGTGCTGATGTAATTAGTAAAATGCGATTTAAGAGTGTTATATATATTTTTAATCATGATGTCTTTTCATAAAAGTGATACTTAAAAGCACATCATCGTCTTGTGGAGGCACGTTGACAAAATTCTTTTTTGAGATTCTACAAGGAATCTTTGTACTTAAAATGTTTAAGAACCACTGATATATTTTGGCTTCACGTATCAATTAGATTTAGATTTTATTTTGTTTTAGAGATGGGGGTCCCACTTTGTTGCCCAGGCTGGAGTACAGCTCACCACAGCCTCAAGCTCTCCGTCTACCTCAGCCTCCTGAGTTGCTGGGACTACAAGGGTGTGCCACCATTTTTTGTAGAGATGTGATCTCACTGTGTTTCCTAGGCTAGCCTTGAACTCCTGGTTTCAAGTGATCCTCTTGTCTTGGCCTCCCAAAGTGTTAGGGTTACAGGCGTGAGCCATTTCGCCTGGCCCTCCGATTTATTAATAGATTTTATAAGGACATTTTAGGCCTTACCCATCAGTTTCTTAGGGCAAGCTTTTCTCTGCAATTCATAATAAATCAGACGGTAGTGCAACGGAAAACGGAGATGATTTCCCTAGAACAAACCATGTGCAGAAGACTCCCTGGTGGTTAGAACAGCAGGTAACCTGGGCAGATCTCTGAAGCTATCCTTAAACTGACGCACCGGAAACAAAAGAACTCCTCCTGGAGCATTCTCGCCGTCCTGGCTTAGTCCGCACCCGCCCGGCAGCCCCGTGGGCCCCGCCCCTGCGCGCGCTGGTTGGTTCTCGCCGGCTGATGAAATTTCCCATACGCATTACAGGAGCCAGACCAGTATAAGCGCCGGTAGCTCCTCCGCCCGGCACGCCATACCCCGCCCGGCACGCCGTCCGCAGACCTGGCGTCCGCAGACCTGGCGTCCGCAGCCCGCATCGCCCTGACCCGCTTGCGCCCAGGTGAGACGGGGCCCCGCGCCCCGCGCAGCACCCTCCTCGGGGGCTCTGGGGCTGCCCTGGGGGAGGAGGATGCGCTCTGTCGCCTGGCACCCGGCGGACGGACGCGCTTCGGGTCGGCTGATGCTGCGTCTCTGGCAGTAGAGAGGGTGGGGTGGACGCCTAGCGATTGTTGCGCACCTAGCGGCAAGCCGGTGCAGAAGAACCTCTGTGTCTTGATCCCTGAGGCATCAAGGGAACCGCGGCCGGAAGACTGGGCCGCTCCGTAGAGGGAGCGGCGACCTGAGCCCCTGTAGATGTTATATGTGTACTTTTTTTTTTTTTTTTTTTTTTTTTTTTTTTACTATGTGGCATTGAAGCCCGTGGACATTTTCCCGGTCCAGGACCGCTGCGGAAGAGCGGGTTGGAGCCTCCATGTGGCCGGGGCGCAGTCGCGTGTGCGTGGTTCTGATCTAGGAAGGAGAAACTGTGCTTTCCCTTTCAACTGCCCTGCTCCTCACCTGGCCTCCCTCACCATGCCTCCTCCCCTCTCACCCCATCTCCCCTCCAGTCACCACGCCTCTGTAGACTGCAAGACTTGACAAGTGACTTGCTGAGCAAACTCGGCCGAGAGGCAGTCTGTTTAGGGACACAGAAGGCCAAGTACAGAAAAAGGCAAAAGGACTAGCATGCCTGTTTCAATGGATGTCTATTTTACAGGGCTGACTTCAGGTTATTGTTAAAGCTTTAAATAAAAGGACAGTTTTCATCTCGGCCTGTGGCCTACATTATTTCTTTACTGTCCATTACTCTGGGCGCTTGGCTGATAATTTAACAGCAGTGTTTTTTTTTCTTTTTTCGTTTTTTGTAAATCGTGATTCATCGCATTACTGAAAGAGTAATTAGAGGTAAAGTAGGGCTTGAACCTTTCTATAGTTGGTTGCTTACTGAGATCTTAACATAAAAGTAAGTTGAGAGGGTGAAGTTTTAAGTAGCACTAAGTGGAATAGAAATGAAATGTACTGAAACTGCAGTGTCCAATTCGGTAGGCGCTAGCCACCTGTAACTGTTGAGCACATGAAATGCTGGCTGGTCCGAACTGAGATGTGTTGTGTTAAATACAATGGATTTTGTCGTTGGAGTAGGAAGAACAGTGTAAAATAGCTCGATAAGTTTTTATATTGATTACATGTTAAAGTGATACTATTTGGGATATATTAAGTATGTTTAAAATTAATTTCACCTTTTTCTTTTAATGGGGCTACTAGTATATTTAAAATTACATATGTGGCTCACATAATTATTGGATAGCACTGCTCTAGAAGTTTACGAAGAAAAAAGAAAAATATTGAGAACAGGTAGCAGCAGCAGTAGGAACTTTGCCCTCCTCTAAGACTGATTCCAATAAAAAATAAGTTATAGTTTTAATTGGCTTTTTCCCACTAGAAAAAAATAAGTGTACTTTACATGCCTCTTTGTTCTCCCCCTTTCCCCTCCAATTAGTGGTTAGCAGGCTTAATATTCACAAGCAGTGTATTCTGTGATGACCACTTTTGATTTTCAAAGCGCTTTCCTAACCCATTTTTAATTGGTATATAGTCAAAGGCAGATGACTTATTAGTAGTCATCCCATTTAAATCTCGTGGAGTTTTCCCACTAAATCTGAAAGTAAAGAATTTGTTATAGGCTATTTGGTCAAGTGCATGGAAGGGACAGTGTAGGATGTGTGGCATTTCATTTCCAAATTGCTTGAGATGATTTTCATTATAACCATGTATTATTTGGTTCTGGTTTTCTGGAAAAGCCAGCCAAACCTTTGGTTCATTTAGATAAAAATGAAATATCCTCAAAGTGACTTACGTAATTTGAATATGTATTTTTTCCTTAGGGTGCCTATCCCAAATTATCTGGGCATTTACTGCTATTTGCAGTTTTTAAAAAGAAAATATCAAAATTGTTATTTTTTTTAAGTTAGAGATGTTTTAATAAAAATGGCCATTTTGAGCTGGTAGTAGTCAAATAAAACAGCCCTTTATTTCACAGTTGAGAATTTGAAATTGGAAAATAATTAATGTATGTAAGGGTGATTTATTTGCTTCCTGGCTTATAGGGAAGAGCCAAGTTTTTTTTTAGGGCTGTTGCTGCTGTATATGTCCTATCTACTTTGTTTCCTTACTGAACATTAAACTTTGAGACAGAAATATTTGAGGACATTTTTTTCTGTTAGGATATTTTGATAGCAAACATTTTGTATCTTCTGTCAACCTAAAATGTTTTACTTGTTATAAAGCCAGGATATCTGATATCAAATTAAATTCCTTTTATTTCCCCTTTAGACTTTCTTCAATAACATCTGGATACATCATTTAGAGGTAAACTAGATATAATATAGTGAAATGCTTAAAAGAGCTGTGCATCTTAGTATTACAGATAGTAATCTGTAGTTTTTTTTTTCCTTTAGACTTTCTTCGGTAACATCTGAATACATCATTTAGAGGTAAGCTAGGTGTAATATACTGAAATGCTTAAAAGAGCTGTGCATCTTAATATTACAGATAGTAATCCTAGTATTACAGCAGTATGATTTTCTGTTCTACTCATTGTATTCTACCTGCAGCTACTTCAAGTAAAGAGAGGGTATTTAACTGTCAAGGGAACCTGAGAGGAGACTCTAGTAATCTGAAAGTCTCTTGGATCTTTGAGGGATTTTGGGATGGAGAGAGTGGGGCTGGGATCTCTGGCTAGGTAGGAGCCAGCCTGCATTTGTTTCTGTATCTTGGAAGCAAACTTCGATTGCAGAAATAGATGTGGCCTGGATGTTGCTAGCTCTAGCCAACCACTAAGGTGGGAGAGATGCAGGCTTTGGCTGGGTGCTAAGCTGCTGTAGCTGGTTGGATATAGAGGTCACTATCTTTTCTGAATACTTGTAGGTAAATTCAATCATTCTCTACTCCCATGGGCCTGTCAACCTAATGGGAAATAGCAATAGAAAAGGTGGTTTACATTTTAGTCTTTGAAGTGGTTTATACACGTTTCTGGAATCAAGATTTAATGCAGACTTGGATTGGATATTGAATATTTTTGATTTGTCTGCTTTTCTCTCCATAGAGAGCTTATAGTTTCATTGCACCATGTGTGGCATTTGGGCCCTGTTTGGCAGTGATGACTGCCTTTCTGTTCAGTGTCTGAGTGCCATGAAGATTGCACACAGGGGTCCAGATGCATTTCGTTTTGAGAATGTCAGTGGATACACCAACTGCTGCTTTGGCTTTCACCGGTTGGCAGTAGTGGACCCTCTGTTTGGAATGCAGCCAATTCGAGTGAGGAAATATCCGTATTTGTGGCTCTGTTACAATGGTGAGATCTACAACCATAGGAAGGTAAGGAAAAAGAAGCCAGATGTCTGGATGTGATTAAACTTCAGAGCTTGTTGGTTACAATGATATTATATATTTTGTATCGTGCTTTTTACTTTGCAAAACACTCCACATTAGGTAGCTGAGATAGTGACACCTTTGCTTTCTGATGGTTCCGTGTACACAAACTCTGCTTCATGCACAAGATTATTTGAAATGTTTATAAAATTACTTTTAGGTGATGTGTCTAAGATATATGAAACAAATGAATTTCGTGTTTGGACTTGGGTCTCATCCCCGAGATATCTCACATATATGCAGATATTCCAGAATCAAATAAAACAAAACAAAACCTAAAACACTTCTGGTTCTAAACATTTCAGATAAGGAATACTCAATATGCATATATATATAAATATATATATTACATACATGGTGTGTGTATAATATGCATTTCCATCCCTTCACAGGTTACAATTCTGATACATTCCCATTACATTCTGTTTATCAGACTGCAACCAAAATTTTCATGGGTTCAGCTTTATGTAATGAAAATTTTAGTTGCAGTCTGATAAAGAATTTGCAGAATTATAAGCTGAAACAAACCCTAATTTGATAATGCTGTGATTTTCCTAAATCACCAAAGTGCAATAATTGTAGAGCTCAAATACTGAAGCAACTTGGCAATAAAAATTATTAGTGAATGCACAAGGAGTCTAACATTTTGGTTTTGCTATTGCTTTCTAAGATGCAGCAGGATTTTGGATTTGAATACCAGACCAACGTGGATGGTGAGATAATCCTTCATCTTTATGACAAAGGCGGAATTGAGCAAACAGTTTCTATGTTGGATGGTGTGTTTGCATTTATTCTACTGGATACTGCCAATAAGAAAGTGTTCCTGGGCAGAGATACATATGGAGTCAGACCTTTGTTTAAAACAATGACAGAAGATGGATTTTTGGCTGTATGTTCAGAAGCTAAAGGTAATAATAAATTTCTCTATAGATTTTCATTATTGTCTTGGTTGTGTGTTTTCTTTTAAGTTATATTTGAAAATCTCTTAGAGAGCAATCCAGAATTTTACAAGTGACTAAGTTATGAGTCCTTACCTTTTCTTAAAAAAACAGAGGATTTGTACTCTCCTTGTCAGCACTTAAATTCTGTAGTCCTTGACGGATGAGTCTTTACTGCAGTCATTTATTTTTTGCTGTGCTAATACGCTCTGCATCTAGCTTGATCCTAAGTGCAGTTTTAAGTTTTCCTGTGTCATACCATAATGGTAGGGTTGGCTCTGCAATTATTGCACTGCAGTGCTTTGCCGCAGTCATAGCACAGCAAACATTAGGATTTCTAAAATAGCTTTACTGATCATTCACATACCATGTAACTCACCCACTTGAAGTATAGAGTTCAGTGGTTTTTAGTATATTCACAGATGTTGGTAACCAGTACTCCAGTCAATTTTAGAATTGTTTTTCCACTTTAAAAAAACAAATAAAATCCTATGTCCTTTACCTTATTTTTTACTGGCAGGATCAACCAGGTTTTTGTTTTTGTTTGTTTTTAAGAGATGGGGTCTTGCTCAGTCATCCAGCCCAGTGGTGTGATCATAGCTCAGTGCAGCCTTGAACTCCTGGGTTCAAGCAATCCTTCCACCTCTGCCTCCCTAGTAGCTAGGAGTATAGGCACGTACCACAACATCCTGCCTCCTATGCCCTTTAGCTTTCAGTTCCATCTCTCCATATCCGTCATCCACAACCCTGCAGTCATAGCCCTGACAATCACTTATCTTTCTGCCTCTGGATTCCTTATTCTGTATGTTTCATATGAATAGGATTATATCATATGGTTTTTGTGACTGGATTCTTTTACTTGGCACAGTGCTTTCAAGATTTGTCTATGCTGTAACGTGTGTCAGTACTTACTTTTTATGGCCAAGTGATACTGCATTACATGGATACAATGCATTTTGTTTATCCACTTGTCAGTTGATAGACACTTAGGACGTTGTTTACCCCTTTTGGCTATTATGAATAATGCTGCTATAAACATTGGTGTACAAGTTTTTGTGTAGACATTTCTCTTGGGTGTATGTCTAGGAGAATTGCTGGGACACATGGTAACTATGTTTAATTGAGGAACTGCCAGTCTATTTTTTGAAATGGCGGCATTGTTCTTTGTTCCCTTCAGCAGTGTATTAAAATTTCAGTTTCTCCACATCTTCACGAACACTTACTGTGTGACTTTTTAATTATAGCCATTCTAGTGTATGTTAAGTGGTATTTCATTGTGGTTTTGATTTATGTTTTCCTGTTAACAGTGATGTCCAGAGTTTTATCTCGTGCTTATTAGCCATTTGTATGTCTTCTTTGGCGACGATTTGTACAGATTCTTTGCCATTTTTTTACCTGCTAGGCATCATTTTATTTTAAAACATAGTAGACTTTATTTTTCTTTTTAGAGCAGTTTTAGAAAAAATTGAGAGGAAAGTGCAGAGAGTTCACATATGCTCCCCCTTTAGTGCCCCTACCCAATTTTCCCAACCCTTAACATTTTGCATTACTGTGCTATGTTTGTTAGATTTGATGAACTGATGCTTATGTGTTAACTGAAGTTTATAGTTTACATTAGGGTTCACTCTTTATATTTTGGATTTGACAAATGTGCTCCACTTACTCATTCCTCCCCCTCCTCTTCCTCCTAATCCCCCAGTCATTGCTGATCTTTTTACTTTCTAATTTTGCCTTTCCCAGAATGTCATATAAATATTTGTGATCATATAGTATGTAGCCTTTTCAGACTGGCTTCTTTCACCTACCAGAATATACGTAGGGTTTTCTGTGTTTTTTTCATGGCTTGATAGCTCATTTTTTAATTCCATTTGTTTGCATGTACTGCATTTTGTTTATCCATTCTTGAATTATCCATCTCTAATTGGGTTATTTTGTCTTTTTATTACTGAATTGTAACAGTTCCTTATGTATTCTAGATACAAATCCCTTGTGCTCATCAGGGTTACAGGATACAGGATCAATATACAAAAATCAACAGTATCTGACACACTTTTAACTGAATACTACATATTTACAATGAGGAATCTGAAAATGAAATTAAGAAAGCAACTTCATGTATAGTATCAGAAAGAATAAAATACTTAGAAATAAATTTCAGAAGTATAAAACTTGTACTCTGTTAGCTATAAAACATTGTTGAAAGAAATGGAAGAAGATTTAAATAAATGGAAAAGTATCCCATGATTATGGATTGAAGGCTTAACATTGTTAAGATGGCAGTGCTCCCTAAACTGATCTACAGATTTAACTTGATTCCTATTAGCATCCCAGATGAGTTCTTTGTAAAATTGACAAGCTGACTGTCAAATTCATAGGGAATTGCAAGGGACTTAAGAATAGCCAAAACAATCTTTTGAAAATGAGGAACAAAGTAAGAGAACTCATATTGACTGACTTTAAAACTTGCTGCAAGACAATGATAATAAAGACTGTATAATACTGGCAGAAAGATAGATGTATAGACCAATGAGATAGAATTGAGAGAGGTGAACCCATATATATATAATCAACTGATTTTTGACAAGGTGCCAAGATTATTCAGTGGGGAAAGAAATTTGAAAACTGTCACAGGAACAACTAGATAATGTAAACATAGGCAAAACCTGAAGTGTTGGACCTTTACCCAACACCAAATACAAAGGCTCTGGATACAAAAAAATGAATCAAATGGATTCATTTTGAGCTAATCCACATAAATGTAAGGACTAAAACTATAAAATCCTGAGAAGCAAACATAGGACTAAATTGTCATGACCTTGGATTTGGCAAAGCTTTCTTAAATATGACACCAGCAACAATAATACAAATTGAAGAATTGGACTTCATCAAAATTAAACATTTTTGTACTTCAAAGGATGCCATCAAGAAAGCAAAAAGCCAACCCACAAGATGGAAGAAAATAATTGTGAATCATGTATAGCACTTTTTGATGAAGAAGTGGAGGAAGACATTTATTTTTTTATTCCTTACCTACACAGCAGTAACATCCTGAAATCTCTCTCCCTGCCTCTTTTTGCCATTCTTTAAATTCCTTCTCACTTAATTTTCAGATTTAATATTGGCTGAAACAGGGATAATGAGATCAGTCAAATGGTCCTTAGGACACTAGCCACAGTGTTTGTATTAATACTGGAACTGTTTTATTTTCAGGCATTTCTAGTGTGATCAGATGGCAAAGAACAAGTATATATGTCAGTTGCCAGAACTGCTGGGCAAACCTGGCAAAGAGAACACCCCAGAAAAGCAGCCTCCTACTCCCCTGTGCCTTCTTTGAGCCTGATGATCACTTGACATGGAGCTATAATCACATCCAGTTTACCCTCTGAAATTCCTTGATAGTTCTTTTCTATATCTTTGACACTGTCCTTTTCCAGACCAAATGATCTCATCTGGAAGACTGAAACAGTTTTCCTTTCTCAGTGCTTTTAGAATAACCTGTCAAAAACTCATCTGATGATGGTACTGCCTGCTTAAACCCTTTAAATTACTCCCCATTCCCTTCCCAGGATGGGTAGCTCATGAGCTCTAATAGCTGGTGAGGGAATATGGGTCCTTTTTCTGGTATTTGAATTCAGTGCTACACAGGTTGCTGGCTGGGTTGACAATCTCAAATTAAATCATGAGTATTCCGTATAGTCTGTTACGATTTACAAGAAAATACTGATGTTTGTGTCAAAGATCATGGTGATGTGAGGGTACTTTCTGTGGGAATTTTTTGAGGAAATTTAAGTTATATGGGTTTATTCACATATAGTGTGTAACAACTAGTTAAGGGGTAGATGTCTTATCTGACTTTAAAGTAGCTAAGAGTGGATCACTGAACTTGTTAAAGGTCTGGGAACCACGGCTATTTTCTGAAAATACCTCAGTGATGACAAACGGCTACCAGCCTATCATAACATTAGGACTCCATTTCATCCCTTGCTTCATAAGTGTGTCTTTTCCTTTTGTATGTATTTGCTTTAGTATAGAAAATAGGTTTTCTTGGTTAGAAATCTAAGAAGAAGAAATTAAACATTGGAGATTTTTCTGTTGCTTTGAATTACCAAAAGTTAGTGTAATTTGGCAGTATATCACTGTGCCATTATTATCTCTCCAGTAAGTGGATGGTAGGGCTTTGGGTGATTAAAATTTTTTTTGCTTATTTAATGGGCATACGTTTGTACTGAAAAGGGAAAATCAATAGGAATGTAGAGGATGTTAACTAATTGTGAAAGGTTACCTAATTTGAACAAAGGTATGATTTTGAATTTGTAGGTCTTGTTACTTTGAAGCACTCTTCAACTCCCTTTTTAAAAGTGGAGCCTTTTCTTCCTGGACACTATGAAGTTTTGGATTTAAAGCCAAATGGCAAAGTTGCGTCCGTGGAAATTGTTAAATATCATCACTGTCGGGATGAGCCCCTGCATGCCCTCTATGACAATGTGGAGAAACTCTTTCCAGGTAGTGGACACCCACCCACCTATTCCCCATCCTTCTCCAAGGGAAAACAGTTATGAGTTGTACATCATTTGAATGATTTTAGTGTCAAGACCTACTTCCTGCTTTCTTTGAAGGGAACATGTTAAGATTTGGCAGACTCCACCATTGAGTAAATGCCATCATGATAGATGTTGATGATTATGTATTCCATTTTAATAACTAATCCAGCTCAAGATTTTCTGGAGCCGTTTCATTTACTTGCTGTGTTTATAGGTTTTGAGTTAGAAACAGTGAAGAACAATATCCGGATCCTTTTTAATAATGCTGTAAAGAAGCGGTTGATGACAGACAGGAGGATTGGCTGCCTTTTATCAGGTAAAGTCAATTAAAAAAACTTAATTATATTTCATGTGTGTTTAATTTAGGTGATTTGTAGTCATCCCTTTAGTTTTTACTATAAAATATTTACTATATGATTGAATCTTTCCTTCATTATAGGATGGAAACAATTTTGTATAAGCTACGTTGAATACTCATAGTAACACTCTAACTTGAGTGACACTGTAGCTATGTTATTGGTGTAAAGAGTGAGCCAGTGAATGTTGTTTAGAATTCTGTGTAGTGATTTTTAACCAAATATTAATATTACCACAGTTTATTTTTATCTTGTGGAAGTTGATTTCAGTTTATAGAACTTGAGGATTTTAAATGGTAAAACTGTGATCTTGGTGCTTATCAGGAATGTACATCCTCTGTCCCTGTCTTATGCAAGGCACATAACTAGGACACTTCCACTTTCTCTTTTGCATGTAGGGGGCTTGGACTCCAGCTTGGTTGCTGCCACCCTGTTGAAGCAGCTGAAAGAGGCCCAAGTACAGTATCCTCTCCAGACATTTGCAATTGGCATGGAAGACAGCCCTGATTTACTGGCTGCTAGAAAGGTAAGATGCTGTCGCTGCCCCTTGTGTAGCTAGAGTAGACTTGTTATTAGAATGAAAATGGAGTCAATAATGGATAATTCCACTTATGCTGCTGTATTGAATGGGGAAATTGTTTCAAATGTATTAAAATAGAATGAAATGGCTGTTGAATATGCACTGTGTTGTACACTGTCCTCTGTACTTTTATCTATTATGACCCATACAATTCTCACAAAGACCCTATGGTGATAATTACGCTCTTTTGAAAGTAAAAGGTGTCTGGGTGTGATGGCCTACACCTGTAATCCCAGCACTTTAGGAGGCTGAGGGAGTGGATTATTTGAGGTCAGGAGTTTGAAACCAGCCTGAGCAACATAGTAAAACTCCCATCTCTACAGAAAAAAAATATAAAAGTTAGCCAGGCTTGGTGGCGCATGCCTGTGGATGGTGTTAGCCTCGTGAGAAGCTGGGTGACAGAGTGAGACCTTGTTTCAAAAAGAAAATAAGAAGTAAAGGCGTAAGTCAGGTACAGTAGCACACACTTACAGTCCCAGATACTTGTGAGACTAGTGGGAGGTCTAAGCTTAGGAGTTTGAGTCCAGGCTGGGCGACATAGCAAGACCCCATCTTGAAAAATTCAAAAGAGAGGCTTTTGTTTGTTTGTTTTTTAAAAAAGAACATAAAGGCATGGTATCGTGGCAAAGACTGCAGGCTTTGGAGTCTGACTCGTGGTTTGACATCCTGGCTCTACTTGTTTATGTAACAAAAATAATAGTGTCTGCTATGGGGTAGTTTTAAGGTGAAATGATGTAATTCATGTAAAGTCAGGGTAGAACTTGGGATATAGTGAGTACTTAGTGGGTGTTAGCTGTTATTATTTTAAAAAGTGCTCTATTTAGAATACTGTGGGCAGAGGGCAGCTTGTCTGTATTCAGTGAGCAGGAGACCTAGCTCCCACTCTGGAGAATTTTTGTAATGTGGGCGAGAAAGAGCTAGAGAGCAGTCTCAATGCAAAGTGATCAATGCTGAGAGAATCCAAAATAGCCAAGAAAAGTAGAATGAGGGGAGAGGCCATTCTATATAGGAATAACATCTGGGTTATACAGTTATGCATTTCAGAAGGACCAAAGAAGACCAAGCTTAGTGTGGGACCATGTTGGACTAGGGAGCAATGAGATGGGTTAGGTAAAATGGGTGAGGAGGGAGTACCGACTGGGAGAATGGTTGAAGCCTTGGCACCAGAGGAGCTGAGGGGAGATCTACTTTCTGGTGGTGGAGTTGAAGCAGGCGAGGGAACAGGGCTGGATGGGGCTTGTATGTGGTGGCCTGTAAAATCATATTTTCTGTTTTCCCTTGTTTAGTTTTCACTGTTGTTAATTCATAAAGATTTGTGAACTTGCATCATGTTTGATTTTCAAGGGAAGTTATTTTCTTTAATAAATAAAGGAGTATTTCTTTATATAATAAGGTAGCAAATCATATTGGAAGTGAGCATCATGAAGTCCTCTTCAACTCGGAGGAAGGCATTCAGGCTCTGGATGAAGTCATATTTTCTTTGGAAACTTATGACATTACAACAGTTCGTGCTTCAGTAGGTGAGGTATTACTATATTATTAAATAAACAGGTTTTTTTAATACTGAAAAAAAATGTAAGGTTTAAGAAAAATTATTTCACGCCATAGTTTAAAAATGTTATTTAAGGGCTGGGCGCAGTGGCACATGCCTGTAATCCCAGCACTTTGGGAGGCTGAGGTGAGCTGATCATGAGGTCAAGAGATCCAGACCATCCTGGCAAACATGGTGAAACCCTGTCTTTACTAAAAATACAAAAACTAGCTGGGCATAGTGGCACGTGCCTATAGTCCCAGTTACTTGGGAGGCTGAGGCAGGAGAATCTTTTGAACCAAAGAGCCGGAGGTGCAGTGAGCTGAGATCGCGTCACTGCACTCCAGCCTGGCGACAGAGCAAGACTCTGTCTCAATAAAAAAAAAAAAGAAATATATTATTTAAGGATGAATGCAAATTAAATCTCTATGTTACTAATTATTTAAGACCACTTAAGAATTCTCCAAATCTCTTTTGGAGTGAACGGCCCAATAAATACATAGTTCAACCTCTACATTTTTGGTATCACTGTTGGTGTTTTCCCAGGGAGTAGATACATATTTTCTGCCCTCTATCTCCCATTTCTCTTTTAGTTTCTTGGGTTATAGTCTGTATACAGTGAAGAAATAGGTCTATTTGGTAATGTATTTTTGATAAGAAATACTCATTTTAGATATGTTTTGGTAAATATTTCATCACACAACTTACCAGTCACTAGCTATCATTGCTCTGCAAACAATACTAATTTTATCTTGTAGAGAATGTATCCACTGAGATTGGACGTATACACCAAATCAGAGGGATCCAGTGTTACTGAGCCTTTTTATACTGCTGTTTCTCTTGAGAGAGTTGCCTTGGAGGGCAAAAGTATCTTAGATATTACAATGGTTTATGGCCCTCCAAAGCATCGCAATAAATAGGGTAGCTCTGGTACTAGAATTTCATGGGGCTCGTGTTAGGAAAATATATGTCTAAAAAGGCTCTCTAGCTGAGGTGATGGTAAAAACAAGGTTGAGAAGAAACACTGGTTTAGGGGGATGTGGTACAGAACCAAGGAGGCAGGTTTAATAACTTATATAGTCTTCCTGGCTTTATGAAAAATCTGGTAAATGGAGAGTGGCAGGGGGAAAATACCTAACAAAACTGACCCTAAACCACCCAAACATGTACTCTTATTTTTGTGTTGTTATACCACTATGAAAGGCATGATTTTTAGATATTTGAGTCATTGTTCAGCTTAGCAAAGTTTTAAGGTGGACATTCTTGGTATAAAAACATTAGAACATTAGAATTTTAAAACCTGTTTATAAAATGACCGAGTGGTTCTGGGTTATTTTATTTTACAGTAGTACTTTTGGATTAAGTACATGTAAATGGCTTATAAATATAAGGTCATTGTTGTGGAAACTATTTTATATTAATTTGAAGCCCAGTATAGTAGTAAAGCTTTCAATTATTTCCAAAAATCAAAGACATTTTTGGTGGAAGGTTATGTTGACATTAAAGTTAATTTCTCTCTCTCATTTAAGGTATGTACTTAATTTCCAAGTATATTCGGAAGAACACAGATAGTGTGGTGATCTTCTCTGGAGAGGGATCGGATGAACTTACACAGGGTTACATATATTTTCACAAGGTAAGCACTCTAAAGTGGAGGGATGTTCATGCTCCATTAAGAAAAGTATGAATTATTTGACTATTTTCGTTCATCTTTCAGTATGACAGTAATATTTTTGAGTGCCCTGTGAGGTTACAAAAGGGAATCTGATAGTGTTTGCTTTCTATCGCTTGGGGAAGAAAGAAATTTTAATAGTGTTAGATAATTTTTATTCTTTAAAACTAGTAATAGACAGGTATGGTGGCTCATGCTTATACTCCCAGCTACTCAGGAGCCTGAGGTGGGAGGATCACCTGAACCCAAGAGGTCCGAGGCTACAGTGAGCTGGGATTGTGCCACTGCACTCTTGCCTGGTTGACAGAGCAAGAACCTGTCTCTTAAAAAAAAAAAAAAGCAAAAGTTAAAAATAAATAAATAAAACTAGTTAAGCTTGAGAATCACCTTTCTGCCATTTCTTAGCCCCCTACGGAATTACGACTGTTTCTCAGTGTGTTCATTTTATTCGAATACTAGCAGTTTAGAGGTATGTTTTGGGAAGCATTGCTTAGCTCTGTTCAGTTATTTGGTCCCTTCCCTCCATTTATCTAGCTTTTTGTCTTATCCACCTTTGGGATTGGAGAGGGAGAAGGACAAACTGCTTTGTGTGCCAAAAGCAAAACTCTTGGTATTTTTGTTTGATAGGCTCCTTCTCCTGAAAAAGCCGAGGAAGAGAGTGAGAGGCTCCTGAGGGAACTCTATTTGTTTGATGTTCTTCGTGCAGATCGAACTACTGCTGCTCACGGGTAACATTTTAAGGAGCTATTGTAAAACAAAAACCAAAAAACACCAAAAATTAAAAAAAAAAGCCCAATACCCTAAAAAAAGTAAAAGATCGATAGCTGACTGGCTATATGTCACATACAGTTGACCATATGTTACAAAGTGTGACTTCTATGGAGAAAATGAAGCTGTTTCTTAATTCACATGTGAACAACCAAGAGGGAAGAGGGAAGGCTGCTACAGCTATTGTTAAGTGTTTTAAAGAGAAATAGGCCGGGTGCAGTGGATGACCTGAGGCCAGGAGTTGGAGACCAGCTGACCAGCACGGAGAAGCCCTGTCTCTACCAAAAATACAAAAAAATCAGCCAGGCGTGGTGGTACATGCCAAAAGAGAGAAGTATTGAGGGGATAGGGCAGTGAAGATGCAAGGCATTTGATTACATGATAAAGAACTGGGTTTTTTGGGTATCATTTCTAGTTGTCTAAAGTTATGTTGAGGTACTGAAGACTTTTACTATATGGGATAAACAACTGACATTAAATGTTTTAGTTGTCTCTGCTGAATCACATGTAAATGAGGATATAATTAATTATGGGTATGGGGAATGAACTGAATCTGGTTATTATCCTATGTGCTTGTCTTAACTAGAGTCTCTAGGCTTCAGGAAACCGGTGATATGGCATTTGATGAAATACAGTGGAATGCTAGTTTATTTTGCATGTTGAAAACACTGAGTTAGAAAGCTCCGGGCAAGGTATTTTCTTAATAATTGGGTCGCTCATGATTTGTAACTTTTTCTGTTTTTTGAAATATGCTATTAACCATTCCTAGAAAGGAAACTAAAAGTAATAGTCTCAAATAGTTAGTTTTACTCCCTAGATGACATGACATGTTTGTTACTTTAAATGAATATATATATTTTTGTATTCATTTAGTAGTGTAGGGCAGTCATTAGGAGACTTGTACTTGTATGTGGCTGTATGATTTTAACATTTCTTAGAATCCGGTTGAATTGATGGGAAACTGAATCAGAACCTAAACTGATGGGCGCTAAATACCCATTTTAATTTAGATTTTCTTCTTTTCTCCTTTAAGCCTTGAACTGAGAGTCCCATTTCTAGATCATCGATTTTCTTCCTATTACTTGTCTCTGCCACCAGAATTGAGAATTCCAAAGGTAGGTAAATCAACCCAAGATAGAAACTGTCCAGTGCCACCAGATTATGTTTGTAACTTTCACTGATGCTTCTTTTTTTTTTGATGTCAGAATGGGATAGAAAAACATCTCCTGAGAGAGACATTTGAGGACTCCAATCTGATACCCAAAGAGATTCTCTGGCGACCAAAAGAAGCCTTCAGTGATGGCATAACTTCAGTTAAGAATTCCTGGTTCAAGATTTTACAGGAATACGTTGAACATCAGGTATAATATCTTTAAAAACATTTTCAGGAATGGGACAATTTGGATGCCGAGCTGTCATTGCTGTTCGTGTTTAGTTTGAATGCCTTGTCCCTGTAAGAGACAGTCATAGTCTCTGTGAACAGTTATCTCTTTTATAAGAATTAAGTATCATGAAGGATTACAAAGTAGCATCTAGAATTGAAAGAGAGAGGAGACTTACTACAATCATCACTTACCTTCATGTAACACATTATTGGGCACCTCCTGAGTGCCAGATATTATTAGGCAAAAATGACTAAAACAGAGCTACCAAGCATTAAAAATATGCATATGAATTCTTAAAAGCTACAGTGACTTAAAAGTCACTGTAGCTATGTGTATTATGAATACTTTGGCATTTTCTAAGCGATGGGTGATTCAAAGGGTCTCATAATTTACAGTCATGTCTTAACGTTTTCTGTTTTGTGGAACCAGAGTAAATACAAGTATTTCCATGCCATTTTAAAAACTGTTTTGCTCTTACACACTTTCCTTACAGGTTGATGATGCAATGATGGCAAATGCAGCACAGAAATTTCCCTTCAATACTCCCAAAACCAAAGAAGGATATTACTATCGTCAAATCTTTGAACGCCATTACCCAGGCCGGGCTTACTGGCTGAATCATTACTGGATGCCCAAGTGGATCAATGCCACTGACCCTTCTGCCCGCACGCTGACCCACTACAAGTCAGCTGCCAAAGCTTAGGTGCTCTTCGTGCTGTAACTGTTGTTCTTGTTGTATGGGTACTATGCAGATATTTCTTGTTGTGTGAGTACTATGAGTAGATGGGCGAACAATGAGAGTCAACTCAGGCTAACTTGAAAAAAATGAAAGTCCTCAATCTTAAACACTGCTATAGTCATTTATGTTCATACAGTCTCTTCATAAGAGGTAACTAGAATTTTTTTGCTGTATCACAGTAAAGTGGAGGGTAAGCTAGGAAAAGGAAATGGTCTGATGTCTGCAAGAACTCACAGCACTCTTCTGACAGAGCTGCTTTAGATGTCATCTGCTTCTTGTGCTCACGTGGCTTCTTTCCAGTTCTTGCCTCATCTTAGGGAAGTCATCAAAATACTTAGGGAACTACAGAATTTTTGTTCTGCCTGCATTCCTAACAGCTGCCTAGGTAAGACTCGAGACTTGAATCTTCTGTAGGAGTTCCTGACAGCTCTGTTTTGCAAGATAGTAGTTCATTTTTTTCTCTTTTATGTTGAGCTAAAGTCACCTCTAGAGATGTGTCCTAAAGCAGGGATCAGGATTTTTTTTTAAGATTCACACAAATATTTTAGGCTTTGTGGACCTCTTTTGGAACTGTGCAGGTCTGCCATTATAGTGCAAAAGCAGTTACATAGACAATATGTTAACAAATGAGCATGGCTGTGTTCTGTTAACAGTTATTTATAAAAGTAGGTAGTGGACCAGATATGGTCCATGGGCCGTAGTTTTTGATCACTGTTCTAGAGGAATAACCAAGTTAGCTAACTAAGCATTTCTGATGAAAGTCCAAACCTACTTGAAAGAAAAAGTATAGGAACATATTCAGCTGGGTATGGTGTCACACACCTGTAATCCCAGCACTTTGGGAGGCTGAGTTGGGCAGATCACCTGAAGTCGGGAGCGAGACCAGCCTGACCAACAGGGAGAAACCCCATCTCTACTAAAAATACAAAATTAGCTGGGTACGGTGGCACATACTCATAATCCCAGCCACTTGGGAGGCTGAGGCAGGAGAATTGCTTGAACCCAGGAGTTGGAGGTTGCGGTGAGCTGAGATGGTGCCATTGTACTCCAGACTGGGCAAGAAGAGCAAAACTTAATCTCAAAAACAAACAAACAAACAAACAAAAAACACACACATTCAAAGAACAGGAAGAAGATTTTCAGTGAATGCTGATTGGTTGTTTAGGGACAACATTTTGAAATACCTTATAAAGGTGAATTTAGCTCTTAAAAACTTTTGAAAAGGGAACCGCTGGCATACAGATAAGTACAAGGATGCTTGATGGAGGAGTGAGTGGGCAGAAAATTAGCTGGTGAGTTGGAAGAAGGGTGTATTTTAGGGTGGCTGTAGGGCTGTATCTACAGAGTATCTCTAAGAAACAGAAAATGTCATTAACTTAGATGACTTTGTTTTGTTTGTTTTAGATACTCTTGCTCTGTCACCTAGGCTGGAGTGCAATGGCATGATCTTGGCTCACTGTAACCTCTGCCTTTTGGGTTCAAACAATTCTTGTGCCTCAACCTCCCAAGTAGCTGGGATTATAGACGGGTGCCACTGTGCCTGGCCAATTTTTGTCTATTTAGTAGAGATGGGGTTTCACCATGTTGACCAGGTTGGTCTTGAACTCCTGGCCTCAAGTGATCCACCCACCTTGGCCTCCCAAAGTGCTGGGACTACAGGTGTTAGTCACTGCACCCGACCCTAGTAGATGACTTTTAATGATTATCTTGTATTTGTAGGTGCTTAAATTGCTTAAACCTAGAATGATTTGATTCTAGGCATATTCATTCCTGGTAAAGCCTCAAACAACCGAGCTAAATGACATAAAAAATACTTGGGAAACTCGGTTCATAATCGTTACAGAGTGTACACTACAAGGTTAAGGTATGACAAACCCCAAACTGCCAGTTTTCCAGGGAGTGGGATTTGGTTCTGGATTTTTAACTTTAGTGACAGATCTGGCATGTTTAGTTGCCACCCAGAAGTTTGATAGTGAAGATACTTAGCTAAGCCAATTTCATAGCAGCAAACTATAGGTTAATTATAATGGCAGCAACTTTCTGGATTTCAAACTACACACAAGATTTACAGAAGGTTCTTGGCACCGAGAATAAAGCTAGCTTTTTCTCTTTTGCAATTTAAATTGTAGAAGGTTTGAAGAAATGGTGTCCTTGGGCTGCTGTACACATGACTTAATAGCTCACTTATTGGCCAAGCCTGTTTTCCTGGATTTTGGTAATTTAGTGCTAAGGAGGCCCTAATCTACACACCGTCTCTAACAACAAATAGTCCAGTAGTTTTAAGCATACACTGAGAATATTAGCTGATATCCTTCTGCCATTTCAGTCTGATGTGAGCACCGTCATGAATGACCTACCCTTTAGAGGTTTATTTCACTTTCTCTTAAATCTGCTAACAGGTACCATATAGTTTGACAGAATGATACACTTCTGTTATAAAAAATGAAAAGTAAAATCCACCTAAAATCTACTTGTAAAGTTTTAACATTTTTTTGAAGATCTCTTGCTATAAAGGGACGTGTGTAGGTCGATTTTGGTTAACATAAGGCCTGAAAGCTTCTGAAGTCCTTTATAAGGAAAACATAAAAATGAACGAATCCGAAGCCTATGATAGCTCAGCATCCAAAGGATTATACTTTGTGGGAAATTTGAATTAGACCTTGGTATGAACATCTTGAGCACAGAGTCAGAGCATGCTCCTGAATGCCTCCTGTTTTGGAATTGCCCTTAGTTTGGTCTAGAGTCTGTGATAAAGGATCCTTGGAGTAGGTCCCTAGGAAGGGAAGGTCTGGCCATGAAGAAGCAGAGTGGAAGCTGAGCAGGGAGGCTGTTACGTGTGGTTCTAGACTGTGCAGTGGAAAAATCAATACCAAGCACATACTTAGCAGCTGTTCTAAGTAATTTTATTGTTAGCTCATTCCCATCTTAGGAGGTGTGGCAGATTTTATTTTCTAAAAGGGGCCATTGCAGTGTTCCTGGTCCCATGTCCTCTTCCAGAGCCTGGCTGCCCCTCTGAAGAAGCAGCCTGTCTTCCCTCTCCTTGAGCTCAGGCAAGATTTTGCAATTGCCTTGTAGTAGAGTACAGTGGAAGTGATGCTGTGTGACTTCTGAAAGTAGGTCACAAAAGATGATGTGGCTTCTGCTCTCTCTCTCTCTTGATAAGGAAGCCCAGACTATGGGATAGGCTGTATGTGAGTTTGGGCTGACTGCCCTTAGCAAAGGGCTCAGTCGACAGCCACCAACAGCCACCAACAACTGCCAGCTGTGTCAGGGAGTGAGCCTCCAGATTATTCCAGCTGCGCTAATCTTTCAGTCTTCTGTCTGGAGCCCATGCAGGTGAAGGAGAGATGAGCCATCCCTGCTGTGTGCTCTGTCCAAGTTCTTCATTCACAAATCTGTGAGCATAATAAAAGCTTGTTTGACACCATTAAGTTTTGGTGTTTCTTACACAGGTATAGTAACTGGAACAGGTAAACACTGATACCCCCATTTTACACATACTAAATACATTGCTCAGTCATTTGGCTAATTAGTAAGTGGTGGAACCTCAAATTAGCCAGGTAGGTTGACTGCAGGGCCTATGAGTTGTTCGTTTCTAAATATTGTCTTGCAGTGTCAGCCTGAAACTGTTGCCTGGGTCTCTGGCGTGAATCGGGAGACTAAGGGAAAGGGCTTTTATTGGGAACAAGAACAGGGAGTGCAGAGAATCTCCCAGGGATTGTAGTGAGGCTAATCATTTTCTGTAATGTCACAGGCTAGGTGATACTGAGAAAACAATTCCCAAATTTCAGTGCATTAACACAGGAAGGGTTTTTTGCTCAAACTATATGTCCATGTTGGCCTATGGGAGGCTCTGCACATTGTTGAGGAGTTATAAGCACTCTGGAACCCAGGCTGATGGAGGCACAACCTTGACATAATTCCACCATCAGCAAGGCAGGGGATGGAGAAAGTAGTGAATTATTTACTGAAGCTTAAATCTTCCACGCTGAAGTGACACATCACTTTGGTTCACATTACCTATGAGACATGTGGCCACACCTAACTGCAAGGGAGCATGAAAGGATGAAAGGAAAATGAATAGCACTAGTAACTCCCCAGATAGCCTCTTTGGGAACAAAATACTGAATTCACTCTCCTATGCAAGAAATATATTTGCCACCTTTTGAGGGTTACAACTGGGGAATTCCATTGTGCAAGGACCCCAAGCCCAGAGTTTAGGATCTCTGGGTGATGTATTTATGTGGAAGTCTGTTTCAGGGCTGGAGATGGGCCCTTAATGAACTAAGAAAAAAGTGATCTACTCCCCATCCACCTAATATATAATTCATCAGGAATAGAATAACCGCAGCAACAACAAAATACATTCAAAAAGGATAAAACAGAAGGAATGTCATAAACCCTACTTGAGCAATTTTGACATTCTGCAGTCAGCCTCCAAGTCCAGCAGAAAATTGCTCTTCAGGGGTCAGCCAAGTTATCAGTGTGTTGGCAGAAGGAAGCAAATTGAAAGAAATGGGGGAATTAGTATCTGAGCACAGGTGAGAAACGGAACAGTTTGGAGGGGAAGGGCTGATTCCTAGCAATAAAGCCACTTTGGTTCATACCGTTGTAATTTTGGTTATAAAGTATTAACATTAATTGGTTACCCTTCCTGAGTGCCAAGGACTGCTCTAAAAGCTATAATCAGTCTTCACAACAACTTGTGAAGTTTGTTCCTTGAAGCTCATCCATATATTGTGGATGAGAAAAGCAACATAGAGAGATGTTATGTTGCATGCCTGAGGTCACATAGCTAACACATAATAGAAGTGGAATACTGGATCCCAGCCTTCAGGGTTTTAGAGACCTTATGCTTAACCCCTACTCTGTGTTATCTTTCAAAGGGATAGACTATAGAGTATAATTATGTACATGGAAAAAATATAATTCCATGTTTTTTCTCAAATTCTGTCTTGTTAATGGGAGTATATGGTCTATTTTATGGGTAGCTCATAAGTTATTTAGCACAGTTATAAATTTAAGCATAAGATACTATTTTAATTTTTAAAATTTGTCATGAGCATGTGTATGTACGGATCATTGGTGCAATTTAGATCTGTGACTTAGATGTGATTTCGATCTGTGAGTTTTTAACCCGATTTCAGGTCCTACGTAGTCAATAAATTGATACCAATAAATCAATTCACAGTCCTCTTTGCAACTTGGTGAATTTTTAATAATACTAGGAAGAAAGACATACCTAGAAATTGCCAATATATTTCAGAAATTGCTTGTGGCAGTATAAAATATTTATTGAATATTTGAGGACTACAGTATAAAACAAAACCACAGGGTGGCAGCAACAACACGTTTTTCTCTAGAGGCAATTTTCTGTCTTTCCTGAAAAGTGGTATGGGGAAACTATTTTATGCTGAATTGAAGAGAAGACATCTTTATTTCATAAAATCATCCAAGCACAAAACTTATTAGTGAGCAGTGTTAACTTGTAGACATCATATGACTGTTGTACAGGCCACTGTTTACTTGTTTATGTATTGTTTTTGTGAAACTATTATCTTTCTCTTCTTGATCCACTAGCCTAAATATACCTGCTATACCTGCACAACGTGCATTCTTACATAAGTGAGATCCTTTATGTTCTGGAAGGTAAGAAAAGATGTGAACAACCTCAAAGCTGTTATTTGCTTTTTGAATGTAGCAAAAATCTACATAAACTCATTTTCATAATTGCCCACTTTACCGAACCCTAACTTGTCTCAGTTTATGCAAATGTAGCTAAAAGACTAAATGTGTATTGAGCACTTAGTTTACACATAATACCATCTAATGTGTCCTGATGACTTACTGTGCACCTAACAGTGGTGTAAGACCGCATTCAGTCTGTATGACAATTCTGAGAGGTACCCACTATTGGTACCATCCCATTTTATGGTAGAAGAAACCACGTACTAGCAGCCCAAACATTGAACAAGAAGATGGTCAATTTGTGGCCAATGGAATCATCTGTCAATTATAATGGATACCACAGAAAAGAGTTCTATATTACAAGGCAATTTTCATATGCAGACAGATGACTCATAGAACTTGGTGAGCCCCCATTACGATGACCTTTCTGTGCAAGAAGTGCCTTTAGTTCCTACCAGAAAACCTATATCCTCTATCCATTAACTTTATACTTCACAGAATTGAACTCACAGGTAGTGGTTTTAGTGGCAATGTTGGAAGTTACAGAGCAGCAGGTTTGAAAGTGCAGGGGCAGGGAAGAACCCAGCATGTGTGTTGGTCCACTTTAGGGAGTGAGAAGAAAACACAGTTAAAAAGAATGATTCATATTATTGGATAAAGTGGTTGAGTTTCTGGGGCTCTGTACCAACTGACCAGATCAAATTCAATGAACTGCTAGCTTGGGAGCTTAGCTAAACATACCAAAGGCAACATCATAGCAATCCTATTACATTATCCTGTGACCAAGGGTAATGTAAGACATTATCTGTTGAACTTGGCTCGAGTTGTCTAGGGTGTATGCTCCCAAGTGACCACAAGGTGGGGCTAGATGTTACTCAACTGACTTCACAAACTTTGGGGAATTTTTCTGTTGGTCTTAACATCTGAATCCTGTGCATCTGTTAATTTGTAGTTTAGCACTTTTTGTGATTATAGATTAAAACCAAAATCCCAGCTATTGACCTCGTACACATCTTTGTCATATTGTGCCACGTGATATGTAATGTCACAGACCTTGAAGTGCAGTGCAAAGCCAGCTTTCTTCCATCTTCCTGTTGTTGAAATATACTATGCCCTGTGTTCCACCCTGACTCTGATTCACCTTGGCTAGTGGTGGGGAGGTGGCCTTCCCAGCTGAGATAGGACATACAAGAGAAAGCAAGGGTTGGGGAGGGCCAGTGGAGATGTGGGGAAAAATGTGAATTCTTCTTGGGGCATAATATGGTTTAGATGTTTGTTCCCTCCAAAATTACGTTGAAATGTGACCTCCAATGTTGGAGGTGGGCCTAGTGGGATATATTTTGGTCATGGAGACAGATCTCTTATGAACGACTTAGTGCCATCCCCTTGTTGATGAGTGAGTTCTTGCTCAGTTAGTTCACATGAGATCTGGTTGTTTAAAAGAATCTAGGCTCTCCCCTCACCCCCACTGTTTGCTCACTCCCTGGCCATGTGACCTGCCTGCTCTTCCTTTGTCTTCTGCCATGGGCAAAGGCTCCCTGAGGTCTCTCCAGAAGTCTAGCAGATGCCGGTGCCATGCTTGTATAGCCTGCAGAGCTGTCAGCCAAATAAACCTCTTTTCTTTATAAATTACCCAGTGTCAGGTATTCCTTTGTAGCAATTAGAAAGGACTAGAACAGGCAGCAAAGTCTGTGATGACAGCAGTAGACCATATGGACCATGTGATATGTAATGTCATACGTTATCACCCAACCAGGAATTACTGACATGCTGCAAGGGGCCAGGCAGGTGGACATGAAGCCTCCTGGGCAGGGGTAGGAGCTGCGGCCTCTGGCAAAGAAAGCCCAGGCACAGTCTGCTCCTCAGATCCAGCCTTTCAATGCCACGTGGCAACACTGGTGGTCTTTTATTGTGAGAGAATCTGGAAATCCAGATTTTTGTGAAAACATTTCCTGATTTTAAAATATCGATTATAATGTTTAAGAATTTTCAGGTCAAACAAACCACGTCCTGTGTGTTAACATTAACTAGAATAATCTACCCATGCTCTGTACAAGTCACACCAGCAGTAGTCCTCCCTTGACTCTTCTTAATATAAAGACCAGAACATTGTTAAACACTGAAGGAATTTTGTGCAGTTTTATTTCACTTCAGCATGGAGGCATTCCTTCAACAAGCCTGCGTTGAGTGCCTTCTCATCAGGCATTACTCCACCCAGTGGAGAATAAAGGCTGTACGTGTAGGGAAGGAATACATCTTTTCCCTACCTCTCCTAGGTTTGTGGCCAAGGTTCCTATAACAAAACACAGATTAACAAGAAAAAGGCATACACATTTATTTACTTATTTAGGAGACAGAGTCTTGCTTTGTCACCCAGGCTGGAGTGCAGTGGTACAATCTTGGCTCACTGGAACCTTAACTTCCCAGGTTCAAGAGATTCTCCTGCCCCAGCCTCCCAGGTAGCTGAGACTGCAGACATGCACCACCATGTCCAGCTATTTTTTTTTTTTTTTTTGTATTTTGGTAGAGATGGGGTTTCACCATGTTTCCCAGGCTGGTCTTGAACTCCTAAGCTCAGGCAATCCGCCTGCCTTGGCCTCCCAAAGTGTTAGGGTTACAGGTGTGAGCCACTGTGCCCAGCCAAATTTATTTAACATAAGTTTTATGCAACATGAGAAACTTCATAAGAAATGGAGATGCAAAGAAATGGTTAATCCAGTATGTTTTTATGTTAGGGTGGATGAACAGTGGACAGTTGAGAAATGTGATAGGACAAAGAAGGTATGATCTGATGGCAACAATCTGGGGGAAAGTTAAAAGGCTGTTTGCTCAGATTCCATTGTGATCCTTCATCTTTAGAGATAAGTAAGGATGCTCCTTTTTCTCTGGGTGTTGAGGACACCTCTTCCATAAGGGTCTTATGTACTACTCAGGGAAGGGTTAAAAAAAAAATCTTCCTAGGTTTTATCATCTGCTTCAGGGAAGATGGCGGGGGGCAGGGGGAACTCAGAACTTCCCTGTTTCTGCCAGTTTTCAGTGCGCCGAGGTGTTACATTTTGGGATAGCATGTCCTGAACCCCATCCTATGTATATGTCCTGTCATGTATAGGCGTCTTGATTCTCTTGTCTCTGGCTAACTTTGTAATTCCCAGTGGTCACGAACCATAGTGCTTTAGCTTTAAATATAGTATGGAGCTTAATTTGGAATCATGAGAATAAAAGGTTTCGAATGACGATGTTAATTGATTTATGTACCACTTGTGCATTATTCAAAAGACATCCACTATGTCTCTGTTTTGCAGAAAGAGACACGAAAGTCTTTTTATTCTGTGGAACAACTGATAGAGCAATAGAAATAGAATCAATCTCATTCTCCATCCATTCTTATTTGCCCCCAGAACTAAAACCTCATCAGATGGTTTGGTGTTAATTAAATCTGACAAAAATGTCAGCACTTCAGACTCATATCTGATTTCCTGTTGGGAACCTGCACATGTTCTCTGCTGTTATCACAAATTTTGCTGCTCAACTCAGACCTCACATTCCCACACCCCAATTTCTCTTCTATCCCCTATCTCTGCTGGGAGACTACCTTCCCCCCTAACCAACCAGATGAGTCACAGATCAGAAAGAAGCACTGGGCATGGCGTTCTGTAATGTCAGGAGCATGGAAGAAAGCTGGCTTTGCAATGCAACTCAGGGTCTGCACAAACAGTGCAGCCTTGGACCATACTGACTTCCAGTCACATACAAATCACTCATAATTTTCAATTTTGATGTTAGGATGATGTATTTTTCAAGGTGATAGGATAGAACATATTTTATTGAGCAGTTGTGTTGATTTATAACTTTTGCTCATTTAGATATGTGATACATGGGATTCTATTTGTACTCTTGTACAAGTATCTGCAACTGTTAGTGAGGTCAAAATGATGCTGGTGGGTGGAGGTGGCAATTTCCTACCTGGACACTGTGGCACTGTGGATGGGAGATTTCTGTTTGTTGTGAGAGATGTTTGAGGCTTTCTTTGTCAGATTCTAAGAGATATGCAGAGAAAAAAGAAGACCACAATGGGAGTAGTTACCTGTTGGCCATCCTCTGCTCCCCCTGAGGTTCAAAGGCTTCTCACATGCCTCTGCCTAGTGGCAGAAATGAACAGATGAGAGAGGATGGCTGGCATGGATTCACAAATAGAACAGGGGACTGTGAAAATGTGTGTGACCCAAGAGATGTTTTGGGACTTGCTTACTTCTAGAGAACAGTTGGTGTCTAGCAAAATGCGGGCATTGGAAATGAAGACTGGACAAGAAAGACTTGGAGATAGTGGGGAGAAAGGAGTAACATGAAGCAGAGAAGACAGGTGCAAACAGGATGGTTTTCAGTGGCCTTGGAAACGTTCTGTTGTGCATCCAGAAGGTGTGGTGAAATTAATGCCTTCTTAAGGTATAGGAAATGAAAAAGCCAGTGACGCAGAGATACTGATTTATTGTTGGGGGCAAGGGGCACCTGTTATTCAATCCCATCTCTTACATCTGTATTATTTAGATTTTATCACTAACATCCCTGGTAAAGCACTGCTTGAAGTGTGTGTGTGCGTGTGTGTGTGTGTGTGTTTCTTAGGCAAGATACCCGTCAATAGAGGAAATAGATTACCTGAAATCTCCACCCTGTCTCTACACAAGAGCAGGGATTAGAGACCCATCCCAGCAAAGAATGACAGATCCATATTATTGGATTAAAGACAAGAAGCCTAATGGGATCACAGGTCTGAAATAAAGAGCTGACCAACCTTCCTCTCTGCCTCTATGGTCCCCACAGTGGAACATGTCACCTAAGGCAGGGTGCAAGGTGATCTGCTGAAATGCAGGGAAAGCTGAACTTTTATTTTTCATTTTTTCCTTTAAAATTTCTATTTTTGTACATCATTTACAAAATGTATGACATGTCAGTGCATTAATAATTAAATATATATCATGCTCTAAATTCTTTACTGATGGTGTGGACAAATGTTGTAAGATCGTAGTACTCATAGATAAACTTCAAACTCCCTTCAC